CCCCAAAACCCCAAAACCCCAAAACCCCAAAACCCCAGCCATTATAAATTAAGATTTAAATAATCGTGCTATTAAATAATTAAAGTTAATAAGTTTGAGTTGTCTAGCTAAGTAATTATCTGAGACTGCATTAGTTGATAATTCAAATTTATTTTATTTTCATGCGTCGGCTGGGTTATTTGATGAGCTATTCTGTCTTTGAAGGACAATCTTTCTGAGTTATCTGTAGTGGATTCCATAAACTAGATAAACTTAATCTTCTAGTTTGATTCCCTCCTCTTCAAGCTTACTTCCAGTATGGTTATCATGATTCTGAGGGTCAGGAGTCTCCTTAAGCTTTGAATTGAATGCGGTTATTTATTCTGAATAATAACTGTATGCATCTTCAATGACTTCTTCCTCGGTGACTGGCTCATACTCCCGACCTGGAGTTTTAGATTGATCCTTTTCAATCTCCTCATTCATGTGATCGAATAGTTGCTTTCTTGACTCGTAAGTGTCATGAGAGTTGATAATGATATCGTCATTCAAAATTTACAAAGAATCCTAGACCTATCTCATCAATGTAGATTGCACTCTATGAGAGTAATAGCACAAATCTTGAACAATTTTATTGTATTCATCCTCTTTGTTGTTGTTCAAGAGGTCAAGTCTGTTTTCAAAGGTCTCATCATTCTTTACATCGGTGATCTCCGTAGCATATCTAGTGATAAGTCCCATAATAGTCTTGTATGTGTCGAAATCAAGCACTTGCTAATTATTAAGAGTCTCGGTATGAAGCTTCTTTACATTGATTTTTTTGCTGAGATCTCTTTTAAATCTGTTTCTATCAGCAAATGTGATGACGGCTATAAATAAGATTATAATTTTGAATATATATTTTACATTCATCGTATCGCTCAACTTCTTTTTCTCTCTAGGAACAGCATGCAAAATTGCCCATTTCTTATCTATATAACAAATAATTGTAAAGATATATTTCTAGTTTTATTAAATTTGCATGAAACTTTTCTTGTGGGGTTTTGGGGTTTTGGGGTTTTGGGG